CTATTTTTAAAAACAGTGGCGTATCTTGAGTAAATGAAGCCTGGGGGTGAACTCTTAAAACTGCGCCTACATGGCACACTCATAATCTATATAATCTTACAAATTAACCCCAAAAGAACTGCCCGTAGCGGATCCCCTTCCCACCGCAAGGTTCGCCACTACATACAGAAAAAAAAACCAACATAAAATGTAGAAACGTAACATCAGGTCTGTCATTAAAGCCGTCTCTAAAGTTGACCGTAACTGGGACCTACTTCAGAGTCTTAAAATCAGGTCTGTCGTTAAAGCCGTCTCTAAAGTTGACCGTAACTGGGACCTACTTCAGAGTCTTAAAATCAGGTCTGTCGTTAAAGCCGTCTCTAAAGTTGACCGTAACTGGGACCTACTTCAGAGTCTTAAAATCAGGTCTGTCGTTAAAGCCGTCTCTAAAGTTGACCGTAACTGGGACCTACTTCAGAGTCTTAAAATCAGGTCTGTCGTTAAAGCCGTCTCTAAAGTTGACCGTAACTGGGACCTACTTCAGAGTCTTAAAATCAGGTCTGTCGTTAAAGCCGTCTCTAAAGTTGACCGTAACTGGGACCTACTTCAGAGTCTTAAAATCAGGTCTGTCGTTAAAGAAGTCTGTAAAGTTGACCATCACTTGCACTTACTTTAGAGAGGAGGCCGCCTCTTGCACAGTGATGTTCTCGGACAGATTTCTCGTCCACCTGTAGATAGTGCTGTTGGACCTTTCCGGTCTAACGCGGCTCTTCTCGCCGGCAGCCGAGGCGTCTCGCCTGTACCTTGGAGCGGGTTGTTCTCCAGGGGGTCCTTCGCTGGGACCACCAGGGGGCAGCTCACCGGGGACGTGGTGACCTCCCCTGGGACCGCCGTGTCCTTTCCATTCACCCCGTCCTTGACCTCGACCTCTGCCACCACCTCGACCCCGACCCCCTTCACCTCGACCCCGACCCCAACCCGGATGACGTGGGTCAGTCCCATATCCGTCAGTGATCTGAAATGAAAGACGGGAGATTTTTTTAGTTCTAATGTATGTTAGTTGTGGAAATGTTGATGGCCTTTCGGTCTGTTAATTTTAGTGACAATGTATTTCACTTCTTCAAATAGTTAACATATATTTGATGTTTATATTAATTTATATGAGGTTTAAAAATTTTTAGTGGTGTCTATTTTCATAGAATGAATAATTCAATGTAGTTGCAAGTCTTGCATATTTTATATATTTACTAGTTGACACCACCTCACTCAGACCAACTTTTTAAAACCCCTTTCTTATACACGTGTTGCAGTTTTAGATGAGGTTATAATGTATTGTTTCCCAAACCGCTGAGACGATCATTAATATTTCTTGAGTTTCACCATATTAGGTGACAATCGGAACACTATTTATTCTTTTTTTTTTTAAAATTATCTTTAAAATTTAACGGATCCAGGATTGACTTATTCCGAATTTTATTTAATTACATTTTTTAAAAAATCTCAGATGACAAAGCCTTGGCATAATCATAGTGTTGACAGACTAAGAAGCGTCTCAAGTGATTAGCTCCCCACAATGACTCCCCAAAATGGACCTTAGCCCCATTAGGCATCACAGAAAAAGTTATAGTTTTATAGCAATTTTCATTTGTATCGTTGTCTTAAAGCTCGAACGATGTCATAAAATTATGATTCGCGACTACACATCTCGGTGAGTTTTAAACAGGTTCTCAATGTTACAGTGTCGCGGGTCACTTTTGTATTTAAAAGTTGGGTAACTTTGATATTTTTAAGTGGGGTCAATTTTATACGATAAAATGTGGTCGCGAGTCATTTTTGATACAGCAAAATGGGGTTTAGGAACCCGTGGTCTGAAGTAAGCCTGGTCTTCGTAGAGACTCGTTATGGATCAAGTCAGTCGATCTTCAGGACGAAAGGGTAGATCTTCGAAATCTATTTTGGCGAATTTTTTGTTTTAATTATTTTGTTCAAACCTATTTCTGAACATGTATTCAGTTTCATTTAAGACCTACGCACCTGTCCAGCTCAAAACAAATATAATATGGCTTTTTTTTTTTTTTTATATTGTTCAAGACTCACCTGACATTGTGAAAACTCGGCGACTAGGGCGCAGGCCAGAACGAAGAGACAGACTCCCCACCTCATTGTCTGGATTATAATTGTAGGTATCCAATGGTGAAGTAGATCTAACACAGTCTCCTAATAACACCGTCAAGATAAATTACGAAGGAAGCAAAACACGGTATATAGGTGGGGAAGCGAAACTGATAAATCTTTTCTGTTTAAAAAAAAAAGTAAATTTGTGTATATATTTATACTAAACGGTGTGCCGCATTTAGCAAACGGATGACGACAGAAGCGTCAGGACACGATCTGTCAGTTGAGGAGCTGTAGACGTCAGGAGGAAATGTGACAGAACAGGACGTTGGACAACGAAGATGTATGAGCGCGACCCGAAGAGTGTAAAGGGAGGTTGGGGGGGGGAGGGGGGGGGGGGGGGTTGGAAGACAGAGGAAGTTACAGTAAACGTGCAAGGTTAAAGGTAGAAGAGATGAGTCATCACTACACACCAGGGATTCTAAATCTATCTGAATCAGACGCCTTTTGGGAATGGAATGAAAATACTGTAGTGAAGGAAGGATTTGTAGTATGATATCATTAGGATAGCAGGGCCCTCACTGATTTCAGTGGGTTGGGGGGGGGGGAACAATGCTTACATTCACGGGATGGTTAGGATAGGAAATGTTCGTAACAATTGGGGGGCGCAAACTTACAAATAAGTGACATAATAATAAAAAATGTGACACAATGACATGGTACCGAATTGACACTGAATGACATGACATTGAGTCAGATGGCACTAAATAGCAGTACGTAATTAAATAATGACACAAAGACAAGGCACTAACCTAAAGGGCATTGAAGAACACGGCTATGAATGGCGAAGCACTGAATCGCAAAGCACTGAATGGCAAGGCACTGAATTGCAAGTCACTGAATTGCAAGGCACTGAATGGCAAGGCACTGAATGGCAAGGCACTGAATGGCAAGGCACTGAATGGCAAGGCACTGAATGGTAAGGCACTGAATGGCAAGGCACTGAATGGCAAAGCACTGAATGGCAAAGCACTGAATGGCAAGGCACTGAATGGCAAGGCACTGAATGGCAAAGCACTGAATGGCAAGGCACTGAATGGCAAGGCACTGAATGGCAAGGCGCTGCGTGGGATGGTTACGCTGATCGACACAAGCCTAAATGACATGAAATGAATGGTGCTGCATTTAATGGCATGACAAGGAACTGCGTGGTGCAGGCAGTATCTGGGACAGCCCTCGCACAAATCTATGGTTCGCTTGTCTAGAGAAGAAAAACAAGTTTCACCCAAAGATGAATGTATTCCTTGAGACGGATGCCAATAATTTAACATGGGGCAGAAAAGGAGCAGCTCTTCTCCATACAGTGGCGTGAGAGGGGATTCAAGGGGTCGGTCTGCTCAGGCAGCCCCCTTTTCTACCTTATATTGAGGGGTAGCTTCTCCAGCCAACAGAAGTACTTTTTTTTTTCGTGAAAGGAGTGGCAAAATGCTTGGCCCGCCCCCGAACGGCATCAGCCCTGATTCGCAACTGTCTCCACATAGTTATAGCCAAAGTGTGTTTTCTTTGTTTCATGAAATTTTAAACTGTTTTATGATCACTCCTTATTGTAAATAAGAAAAACTAAGAAAACCCGATTATTGAACCCTAAAAACGACACTAAAATCATAAACTTTTGATTGCCTAAAGAAACAGATTTAGAACCACTGCACATGACCAACTGTTTCTTCCCTCTAGAATCTATAGATGGTCTTAGTTATTCGTCGTATTAAGCGACCCCCCCCCTTTTGCCGACATCCGATAAATCTCTAAACACCTCAAACATTAAATATTATAATATTTTTTTTTTCTTTTTAAAAATGATAAAACCTTTTAAAACCCAATCCAATAAATCCATGGATCCAAAGGGGTATGTGAGCCAAAGTTTGAGAAACCCTGATTTGTTTTCCAAAAGAATGCATAAAATAAGATTAGTTTATTAGACGCTACATCTTTTACTTGGTGCTGACTCTCTTACTCTTATCAAATTTACTAAGGCATATTTTGTTTTCTTTTAAATCCACAATAACAATTAATCCTCGGATGAAAGAGGACAATCTATTTTTATGTTCAGCTTAATGCTCTAATAAATCGGCGTTTTTTAAAATTTGATTTTCCTTCTTTTGTTTTTAACAGTGAAACGAAAATGAAAAATAGTAAACAAGCTGTTTGGACATCACTTTTGGATTCGAGAGTAATAAATTCAGTCTAGTGCGTTGCCCTTGGCGCGCTGGCACGATTTGCCCGCTGTACAGCTCCTTTAGTTTCTCAGCTCCACTTAGCACACTGTGATGTTTCTCTCAATATTCTGACGTCAAGAAAAAGAGTTCTCGTATGACAAACTTGTGCGCAGAACATGATGACGTCAAATGTATTGACTACGAAGTGGACGTTGTTAGCGGGCAACTCTTTACTACAGCGCGAGTACTCCAAGGGCACTTTTGAGAAGTTGAGCCGGGTCGTCTAATTATAGATGTCATCAGCACGTACGATGTAATATCAGCAGAGCAGGGGGAACAGATGTCCCCGGGTGCCTGCTAGTTAGGGGGGGGGCAAAGCGTGCTTTGATATTATTTTATTGACGAAAATAATGGGTTTGAGAGTTCGAAAAAGAAAAGGGGGCGCTTTAAAATGATCCTTGTCCCAGGACGCGAATCTAGTCCCCGGGCGCCAAACACTCTCGCTACGCCTCTGAATATCAGACTCTGTTTAATACGTGCGCGCTCGGTTTAGCAGTAAATTATTTACTCCTACAGACGTTACCATTTCAGCACTATTTTAATTGTTATTAGATTGCATTTGCTCATACTGTAAATATCATTCTTTTTTTGTGTGTCCCTAACACATATTAGACTCGATATTTTAAAGTAGGTGCGATTTATGTTTTGGGAGATTATATTCTATATTATTCATCATCATCATCATACTAATTATTCTTCTTATCTTCATTTTCAAAAAAATAATAATTCATCCATACCTTTTTTCGATAGCCAGGGCTCAGCCAGTAGGCACGTTTGATATGCTTTGTTTGGAGAGTAAGATTTATTATACGAATAACTCCATAATATTTCTTACCTTAACGAAAACATTTTTTTAAAGAGTTTTTATCTGGTCAATATGTCGTAAATTTGTTTTCGAAACCAAAACTGAAACAGATTTAGCTCTAAAAGACTTATACCTGGACACCAACAACCAATTTTTAAAAACAACAACAACATTGTACATTTTTAAATCTTTTATATTAACTTCGCTTTTGTTCATGGGTGGCAGGCTGGCGAAATCTTCGGACGCCTTAGTGACCCACTTCCCGTCCCGTAAATCTATCGAGGTGAAACTTGGCACACAGACTCGTTGCCGAAGACGACACATGTTCAGCTCCACCCCCAATCCAAACACCCAAAAAATTAGTGTTTCTAGTTTTTCAGTGGGAATATGAAGGAAATATGATGACACCGTTTCAAGAAATAAAATTCCCAATAACTGCACTAAATGAGACTCTTTGTTAAAAATTATCATTTGGTACATAATATTGTCTTTTGTTTTTCTCAAATAGTTGGTGAAATAGATGTTCGGTGTAAAGGCGGGTGGTGCATTATGATATTAATATAGTTCAGGGGCGAGAATGTGTGGATGAAAGCCTAGGAAGGGAAGGGGGGTGGGTACTAACTGGGATTCTTATAAGGTGCATTACTTATCTGCATGTTTTGTCAAAATTTCGTCGCCCCCCCCCCCGCCCAAATCGCCTGATAATAAATTTTATAAAGGATTTATGTGAAAAACTTTATTTTAGTTTTAGGAGTAGTTCACTTTGTTACAGTACAGCTTGCCTTGTTACAGTACAGCTTGCCTTGTTACAGTACAGCTTGCCTTGTTGCAGTACAGCTTGCCTTGTTGCAGTACAGCTTGCCTTGTTGCAGTACAGCTTGCCTTGTTGCAGTTCAGCTTGGCTTGGTGCAGTTCAGCTTGGCTTGTTGGAGTACCGCTTGGCTTGTTTACAGTACAGCTTGCCTTGTTGCAGTACAGCTTGCCTTGTTGCAGTACAGCTTGCCTTGTTGCAGTACAGCTTGCCTTGTTTACAGTACAGCTTGCCTTGTTACATTACAGCTTGCCTTGTTACAGTACAGCTTGCCTTGTTTACAGTACAGCTGGCCTTGTTACAGTACAGCTTGCCTTGTTTACAGTACAGCTTGCCTTGTTACAGTAAAGCTTGCCTTGTTTACAGTACAGCTTGCCTTGTTTACAGTACAGCTTGCCTTGTTACAGTACAGCTTGCCTTGTTACAGTAAAGCTTGCCTTGTTTACAGTACAGCTTGTCTTGTTTACAGTACAGCTTGCCTTGTTACAGTACAGCTTGCCTTGTTACAGTACAGCTTGCCTTGTTACAGTAAAGCTTGCCTTGTTACAGTACGGCTTGCCTTGTTACAGTACGGCTTGCCTTGTTACAGTACGGCTTGCCTTGTTACAGTACGGCTTGTCTTGTTACATTACGGCTTGTCTTGTTACAGTACGGCTTGCCTTGTTACAGTACAGCTTGCCTTGTTACAGTACAGCTTGCCTTGTTACAGTACAGCTTGCCTTGTTACAGTACAGCTTGCCTTGCTACAGTACGGCTTGCCTTGTTACAGTACGGCTTGCCTTGTTACAGTACAGCTTGCCTTGTTACAGTACAGCTTGCCTTGTTACAGTACGGCTTGCCTTGTTGCAGTACGGCTTGCCTTGTTACAGTACGGCTTGCCTTGTTACAGTACAGCTTGCCTTGTTTACATCGTGTTTACGTCATGTTTCTCGCGCATCTCGGTGAATGAGCTCTGGGTGACTCCAAATTTGGCGACGATAGGTGTAGCCTCATTATAAATTGTCTCCCTTGACCTTGTCTACATGTAAACGCAGTCTATAGTCGAATTCTTTAGAACTTACGAGACAGGGCGAGGTACACATACAATGCGTAGCTCCTTTTCGGAAAAGTCTCTATGAAAGACTATAAAATAAGACGATCGACATCGGGAGAGACAAAGACCTAGATGGAGACTGTGAGACAAAGAGAGAGAGAGACAGAGATTGGGATCACGATTCGAGTCTAAAGCGAGACAAATAGACTACCTTCTACACTGATCATAGATTTTTATATTCTCTTTATTGTATGTGTGTGCACCTTCCCAGCACTGTACCGCTCGCTACCAGTTCATTTATGTACTGTAAGTGAATATCCTTAGTTTTATTATCTTTGATGTTTCTATTGATAAGTTAACTTAATAAAATATTATTTGTAATTAGGCGTAGTTTGGGTATCGTTCTTTATAACTGTATTTAATTAATGGTATCGTAGAGATTAAATTCTCTACACATTATAGTGGTACGTAATAAATTAGAACATTTATTTTAAGATTTTTAACTGCATCTTTAGCCTATTATAATGAGCGAAATGTGGAGGCAATACAAAATTAAATAGTAGAACAAGATTTCTTTAGGCTGAAAAAAAAACCACAACAATTAAACGGACGTTTCGGCTCAACGCCTTCGTCAGCAGACATTAAAATGATTTTTTTTTTAAACGACATATAAATATAAGTCAAAATTTATATTTTTGAAGATCTCCATCATGTCAATAAAGGTCGAATTTCAGAACAGGAAGATCTTTATGTTATTTTTAGAAACGTGAGTTGTAAAACAAAGAAAAATAGGTACACTCAATATGTTTGATGTTGTTAACATATTATTTTTTTTAATCCTTTCTGTTAACGCCCCCTTTTGTTCGAAGCTGGCTGGCTAAATCTTCCGATCCCTTCCCATCAACCTATCGAGATTAAATTTGGCACACAGACCCCAACCCTCCAAAAATCAATTATTCCCCGTTTTTCAGGGCGAGATGAAGGAAATATGATGACATTTATTTCACGAAATAAAATGTCCCGATAACTGCACTACATGATATTCTATTTTTTAATCGCAACTGCGATTGCTGTGTAATATTGTCGTTTTCCTTTTTTTTTTAAGTAGTCTGCGAATTATACGTGCAGGAGCCCTCCAATGCTGCATTGCTCTAGTCTCCCAAGGTGAACAATATGACATTAATTAGTCGAAACTAAATTAGGGCGAAACGAATACCCTGGGGTGCACCAAAACCGCAGTAAATCCAGGCTATGTAGGGAAAATTACCCAATTTTCACACGATAGATGCCCACCCACCCCTATTTTTAAGCTTCAAATCTCAATTCCCTTGATCATATTTTCTAAAAGCAACAAAAGATTATCAGATATACGCTAAACCGGACCCATTGATTTTGAATTACCGGGTATTCAAAGTTTTATTTCGATCGGTTCAACAAAACCTTTCCTAACTTTTTATTAGTTATCTTGCACGCCCATGGGTGTAGATGGGTTAAGTGCCACCCAGGGCGGGCCACGATTTTGTCTGCTCCCTTCCACGATAAAAAAAACTCTGCAAGACACCAAAAAATGCCGCTTCTCCATTAATAAAAATGACCGCCCTTTGCGCTCAACTTACCGCGCCATTGACACTGCGGGCCACCTGAACATCTGAATTACACGCTTCCACCTTGTTTTTAGATCAAAATATCTGAAAGGAACTCTACGTGCAGTGAATAAACTGGCCAATGTGCAAAGTGAATAAACTGGCCACTGTGCAAAGTGAATAAACTGGCCATTGTGTAGTGAATAAACTGGCCATTGTGTAGTGAATAAACTGGCCAATGTGCAAAGTGAATAAACTGGCCACTGTGCAAAGTGAATAAACTGGCCATTGTGTAGTTAATAAACTAGCCATTGTGTAGTGAATAAACTGGCCACTGTGCAAAGTGAATAAACTGGCCACTGTGTAGTGAATAAACTGGCCACTGTGCAAAGTGAATAAACTGGCCATTGTGTAGTGAATAAACTGGCCATTGTGTAGTGAATAAACTGGCCATTGTGTAGTGAATAAACTGGCCAATGTGCAAAGTGAATAAACTGGCCACTGTGCAAAGTGAATAAACTGGCCATTGTGTAGTGAATAAACTGGCCATTGTGTAGTGAATAAACTGGCCAATGTGCAAAGTGAATAAACTGGCCACTGTGCAAAGTGAATAAACTGGCCATTGTGTAGTGAATAAACTGGCCATTGTGTAGTGAATAAACTGGCCACTGTGTAGTGAATAAACTGGCCACTGTGTAGTGAATATACTGGCCACTGTGTGTAGTGAATAAACTGGCCATTGAGTAGTGAATAAACTGGCCACTGTGTAGTGAATAAACTGGCCACTGTGTGTAGTGAATAAACTGGCCATTGTGTAGTGAATAAACTGGCCACTGTGTGTAGTGAATAAACTGGCCATTGTGTAGTGAATAAACTGGCCTCTGTGTAGTGAATAAACTGGCCACTGTGTATAGTGAATAAACTGGCCACTGTGTATAGTGAATAAACTGGCCATTGTGTAGTGAATAAACTGGCCACTGTGTAGTGAATAAACCGGCCACTGTCAAGCAGTTCGTATCTTTGTGTGCACTGTTATTAAGCCACCGTGCCAGCCCCCAAGTTCTTCTCCTAGGCAATTATGTCATCAGCTACAACAGGGGTCTCGAAACTTTTCAGCCCGAGGGCCGCATTAACTATCAAACAGTAGTTCAGGGGCCGACTTCACACTCGAGGTCCAAATAACAAAGAATCAAAACATGGATGTTGTTTCTAATTATTTATGAGTTATGATTTCATTCAGTTATTATTTAATAACACATTGATACATGACACATGAACACCTGTATTAGTGGGAATGGTGAGATTGTTTCCTGGATACCAAAATAGCAGTGAATAGCGGATATTTCTGGATTTAGAGTTGATGTCCCTAACATCAAAAGTGACCTGAGATGATCATCGGAAAAATTTGTTCTCAAATTGTTCTTCACGTATTTCGATCTTGAAAATGTTTGTTCACACAGGCATGTGGTTCCAAAGAGTGAAAGGTACATTGATGCAGATGTTTTGAAATTAGGAAAGTCGTTCTTGGGCAAAAACTAGTTAAAAACCCACCGGTCCTTCTTTTAACTTGTCCTTAAGGAGGTCATTTGCTTGCAACTCATTGACCTCCAGGTGCAGTTCATCTGGGCGACTGCTTCAAATGGGTTTTGAAAAAGTCTCACTTCTTCTGCCTTTGAATCCAAGTCATAAAATCACTGTTGAAACTTCGGCTGGGAGTCTTTGATGATCTTGCATACAAATGACGTGGGGAACTCCGCTGTTGCGTCAGCCATGAAGACCGTCCATTGCTGAAAGTGTGTCGCGTTGTTGTCCTGTACTTGTTACAAAAAACAAGAAGAGTTTGGATCTGAAGGTCTTTAGCTGGGTGTATGGATTAGAAACTAGATTTTCCGCTCCTTGTAGTTTTGGGTTCAGAAATTTTAAATGACTCGTTATGTCTCCAGCAAAGACCAATTTCCATACCCACTCTTCATCAGACACTAATGGCTGTGGCTTGCCTTTAATTTCTAGGAAGTCACCTATTTCCTTTCTTAACTTCAATACTCTGCTGAGAACTTTCCCACAACTTAGCCATCTTATTGCTGTGTAACATGGTAAATCTTGCAAGTCTGTGTCTGCATCTTTTAACATTTCTCTGAACTGTCTATGGTTGAGCCCATGTGACCAAATTAAATTAACCCTCTTTACCACAGGATTCAGTACGCTGCTAATGTCCACATATTTTTCACACAAAGTTTCCTGCTAAATAATACAGTGCAGGAACATGGGTTGCAGATTATTTTTCTCATTACACATGTGCTTCACTTGTCCAACCTAGCCTTTCTGTATGCTCATGTTCTTTCCTCCATCAACAGTCAGGCAACTGAGGTTAGTCCAGTCCAAGTTATAATCAGCAAATGTAGTCTTCCAACTCATTAAATATATCCTCACCGGTAACAGTGTCGTACATGCTATGTAGAGAAGCCAGCATTGAGTCACAATGTTTTACCCCACGTCTGCAACACGGCGGGCAAAGCTTCGCTACTTTATGGCGTTATATCATCTCATTGACTGTGATCGGAACTAGAAAAACTAAGCAGCGAATATGGTTTTGCCAAGTCATGATCGGTTAGAAAACATAACGGACTACTGCGCGCCTCTATTTCAATTCGGTAAAAACATCACTTCCACGTAAGCGTCCTCTGATCTTGGCAGGATACACGTAAATTTCCGTTTTTTTTTTCCGTAGACAAAAAGGTTTCCGCGGGCCGCATGAGAGGGCCTCACGGGCCGTAGTTTGGAGACCCCTGAGCTACAAGTATTCATTAAGCAGTGGTCCCCAAATGGCGGTCCGTGGACCTTCACCGGTCCGCATGCCTGACGCTGCCGTTCCCCATAACATAAATATTTGTTGTCAAATAGAAATAAAAGTATAACTATAAATCATGCACCGGTCCCTGGTCAAATTTCGAAACTTGTTCACCGGTCCGCCAGACTTAAACGTTTGGGAACCACTGCACTAGAGGACTCAAGATACAACTCAAGTCTAATACAATCATTGAGGTGAATTGCAATGCAATTTCGTATAAGTTATTGTCAAGCTATTTGGGAATTAGTTTTAGTTAGGGGAACCAACCTATTACAATAGCCTGACACATTATTATATTATTATCTCCCTTGGAAACCCTAGATAACTGGCTGATTAAATGGAATTCGTTATTTAGTGTGGGGTGGGGGGGTGGGGGGCATTGATGTCTTTTGAGTAGGGCATGGTGAGGCACTCCCCCCCCACCCCTGAATTTACTATGTACGGGGGGGGGGACACACTATATATTTCCAAATGTCTTCTAGTCCACGATTCAGGTGACTAGTGAGTTGTTTATTAAAAAAAACAGATGTCATAATGATTTGAACATTATTGTTTCTCTCTTTCACTTTCGCACTTCAAAACGTGCCCTTTCCTCAGCATAAAATTCATTCTCTTATCAAAAATTAGAAAAAAATACTAATAATAAATTCAAAGCCTTTTTTATAAATGTTTTATTTAAGAACATTCTATTGTGACATAATTTTGTGTCATCCTTGTTGGAAATGTGTTAATGTTATTGATGTCAAGTAAATGTATGCCTTGTGATGACGATTCTTACACATTTGATGTAAAGTAAAGAGGGCCCCCCAGCCCCCCCCGCCCCCCCCCCCCAAATGATCGACTCTTTACACCACATTGAACCTCCTCACCATCCAAGATAAACGTGGCCCATCTCTTATCACCTCGGCCTGCCTTCTTCCTCCCCCCCCCCGGTCACCAGTACACGATGGCGGCAAATTCCACCAGAACTCGACGCCAACGTCATGATTTCACCACGAGGGAAGAAGCTGTGTTCTCTCGGAGTGATTCAGCCCAAGGACATCAGCAGCCTCCGCAGGAACGGGTCGATCTTGATCCCTTCGAGTTTCCACTTCAGTGCGCTGAAATCAGCGTACTCCAGGTTGCCACGAGCCACGTCGATGGTGTTGTAGATGCACCTGTTCAAATAAAGACAACTGATGTAGTGATGAGACTGTGTGTTGTTGTTGTTGTTGTTGTTGTATTGAAAATACATTACTTGAGGATTTAATTGAATGAAATAAGTATTTATTTATTTACAATTAAAATTATTTATTATTATTATCATTATTATTACTTTGGTTATCATCATCATATTATTATCATCATTCGTACTGTTATTATTATTTTATTGTTATCATAACTATCATTATTCTTAGTATCATTATTAATATCATTATTATTATCATTACAATTATTTTAATTATTATTATTCCCCTCATTATAATTATTATTATATTTCTAATATCATTATTATTATGTTTAAAATACTACACTCACAAAATCACCCCGCCCGCCCCGAAAGGTCAAGGTCAAGGACATTAATGCCAAACTATTCAACTTGACTCCCTGACAAAGATGTTACTGGGACGCTTAACCTGGGCCGTAAAGATGGCTTAAAGATACCTACGCGTAGCTGACGTACAAGATGCGCTCTGCAACTGCGCATACGGCCGAGAAAAGCGTCAGATCCATCTTTGTTGCACTGGTGATGTCTAGGGCCTTGAACAGCGTCGCGATGTCTTTCTTTGAGACGGAGTTGCTTAGGATGTCTTGCAGTGCCGTCTCGATGATCTGGAGGGTTGTGGGGGGGGGGGGATTTTCATTAAATGAGAGCGTTCTCAGTTTCTGTTACTGGATGCAGTATCTTCATCACACATCTCCTCCCTTTTCTTTCTACGTCATCGCAACATTAATATGGTTATCCTATACAGTGGCATCGCCGGGGTTGGTGTCACAGCCCTCTTGAACTTCCGCATGGACCGACTCCCAGTCGGCCGTCTCTGGTGACACCCTACTGTGAAGGCACCCTATTGTGGAGGCAACCTACTGCGGTGGCACACTGATCGGACGCAACCTTTATCTGTCACCTGACTCCCAGCTCTGCAATTTAGCTGAGTGGTGGCACCCTAATGTGGTGACACCCTACTGTGGTGACACCCTACTGTGGTGACACCCTTGGTGGTGAACTGTGGTGACACCCTACTGTGGTGACACCCTACTGTGGTGGCACTCTGATCTGTCATGTGACTCCCAGCTCTGCTATTTAGCCGAGTTCTTTTATGAAAAAGACTCAAGCAAACTCTGTCAGATTTGCAATGTCCTATTTGGTGCCTCCCCCGCCCAACCCCTCCCATGTCACCCAGAGGGTGTCACCCAGTGCGATCTGCACCACGTAACCTCACGACCACACCCTCCCATTGAGAGCGTGTCACCCAGTGCGATCTGCACCACTTAACCCCCCGACCACCCCCTCCTATTTAGAGGGTGTCACCCAGTGCGATCAGCACCACGTATCCCCCGACCACACCCTCCCATTGAGAGGATGTCACCCAGTGCGATCTGCACCATGTAACCCCCCACCACACCCCTTCCCCAGTCAAAACAACTTATCCAATGTTATACTGTGCTGATTTTATTTTTAATACTGATGGTCTCGTCTGTCATCTTTCTAATGGCTGGTATACGCGGCAGGCCTTTTTGAGACAATATTCTCGCATTAAGATATTATTGTATTTCAGGCCACTGACCTGCATCGGTAGTAGATCATTGTATTTGGGCTTGTGCTTTCTGTAACACTTTCTATAGACGATGAACCTATTTAATGGAATGTGGCAATAGCCGAGTAGGTACTGAGAGATAGTCATTCCTGGAATATAGACAGTTCTTGGAATGAAGGCATTGCAAGGAACACAGGCGGTCATGGAATCCAGACAGTTATGGAATTAAGAAAATCATGAACATAGACCTCATGAAATAGAGACTTCAAGGAAGACAGTTATGGAATACAGGCAGACATGGAATAGAGACTTCATGGAATAGAGACTTCTTGGAATACAGTAATGTAATACAGACAGACATGAAATACAGACATTCGTGGAATACAGTTATGGGCTGTCATGGAATACAGGCAGTTGTGGAGTAGAGACTTCGTACAATACAGAGAGTCATGGAATAAGGACAGTCATGAAATACAGATAGTCATGGTATACAGACAGTTATGGAATACAGACATTCATGGAATACAGATAATCATGAAATTCATGCATTCATGCTATAGAGTCAAGGAATACATACATTTATGTTGTACAGTTAAGAAATACAGACAGGCCTGGAATACAGACATTAATGAAATATCAGACATTCATAAAATACAGACTGTCATGGAATACAGACGTCCATGGAAAATAGACAATCATGGTTATGTTCATTGATTTCAGACAGTCACGAAATACCGATAATTATGAAATACATGTATTCATGTTATATAGTCAAGGAATACATACATTTATGTTGTACAGATATGAAAAACAGACAGACCTGAAATACAGACAGTCCTGAAATACAGAAATTCATGAAATACAGACATTCATGAAATACAGACATTCATGAAATACAGACATTCATAAAGAGCAGACACTTATACAATACAGACAGTCTTTGAATAAAGAAATTCATAAAATACAGACAGTCCTGAAATATTATTATTATTATTATTATTATACGTTGTTTTATATAGCGTGGTACCCCAGCCTAGGACTAGGCTCACCACGCTGTACATACAATTTAACAGACATAACCCCAGCCTAGGGCTAGGCTCACCACGCTGTACATACAATTTAACAGACATAACCCCAGCCTAGGGCTAGGCTCACCACGCTGTACATACAATTTAACAGACATAACCCCAGCCTAGGACTAGGCTCACCACGCTGTACATACAACTTAACAGACATAACCCCAGCCTAGGACTAGGCTCACCACGCTGTACATACAACTTAACAGACATAACCAAAAACTTAAAAAAATAATTGACATACATTAATTAGATAAAACAAAACAAAGTTATATTTAAAACTATTTACACCTCAAGCCATGGATGACACTCAGTACCATCGTTTTTCGGTCAGAGGTGGGCATCAGTCAGGATAGTAGAGATTAAAAAGATGTGTTTTGGGTGCAGTTTTGAAGGTTGTGATGTTCGGTATATTGCTGATGTGTAATGGAAGAGAATTCCATTGTTTGGGTGCACAGAAAGAGAACGATCATTCAACGTATGTTTTTGTGCGAGTCTTGGGGACAGAAAGAATATGCGCGTCTGCGGAGGAGCGAAGCTGTCGAAGGGGTGAATAGACTGAGAGAAGTTCGGTTAGATAAGAAGGGGAGGAATTCGAGAAAAAGTTGTGGCAGAGAACAGAGAGTTTGTGCTTGCGTAGGGAGCCAATAAAGAGAATGAAGTAGTGGTGTGACGTGATCACGTTTTCTTGACTTTGGAAGTAGCCTAGCGGCTGAGTTTTGAACCTTTTGTAATTTTTCTAAGAAGTGTTTTGGTGCACCTGATAGAAGAGAATTACAATAGTCAAGACGAGAGAGAACAAGAGCACAGACTAGGGCTTTTGTTGCACCTTGTGTAAGGATTTGGGGGGGGGGGGATGGAGCTTATCTGACGAATAGCGGGGTATGCAGAGCGACAAATGTGAGAGATGTGATTATCGAGAGACATGTTGTTAGACAAAATATGGACTTTAATGAAATACAGACATTCGTTAAATCAGAAAAATCGTTGAATACAGGCAGTATGTATAAATTAAAAGCAATATATAAATAATGAAATTCACAAAAGAGATACTACAGTGTTAAAAAAGAACAGGGAACACACCAAATAGAGCTAAACCATAATGCAGACAGCAACATAACAGATACTATTGCTCCACCGAACACATACTCAACAGACCACATACTCCACAGAACACATACTCCACAGAATAAAGCTACTAATTCAATTATTTTTTGTTGTATTTTTTAAACTTCGAATTTCGTTGGAAAATATCCATTGGTACTAAACACGTCTGACCCAGAGATGACAGAAAGTCTAAATAGACAAACACATATTATGTACGGGACTTACGTTCAAACATTCTCATGTCCATGGGCAGGCCGAAACGACATGACCGGCAGGACTCGGACAGTCTCTCCAGGAACCACGGGATAGGCTCCAGGACGCCCTGCCTCTGTTGGCATTGAACAAATCATCTTACAGTCAAAGTAACATTTTTAGTTTCGTATACATGCGCGTCACAATTACAAAGTAACATTATAGTTACATATACAAGAGTGTCACAATTACAGTCACATTTTAGTTGCATATAAAGGCGAGCTTCCAGTCACAACTACAGTGACAATTACAGTCTCAATCAAAGTTTCATTTGAAGTCATATCAAATAGTACGTTACATGCAGTAATATTGACGAATTGTCACAAACGAAACCTGTAAATAAAAGATGAAATTGGCGTCTTATGGCACTTAGGGACGTGCTGTGAGAATTTCAGACGACCGCTTGCCCAAACTATTCTATGGTGAGCTCGGACATGGATGGCGGTTAGTGGATGGTCAGAAGAAACGCTATGAAGACGACTAAAAGTCTCACTGATACAAGCCCGGACACATGGGAAGAATCGGCAAAGCATCGTGCATCGCGGCGTTCCTCTGTACACAAGGGCTTGATACAACACGAAGCCAACAGATCAGCGGCTGTACAGCACAAAAGACATGCCAGAGAAGTGCGGTTTAACTCTACAACTAGAGATGACCTATCCATGCCAGGCACTTAGGGGCCGTCAAATAACTACGTCAGGCTCCAGAGAGGGAAAGGGGGAGGCGGGGTCTAAGAAAGTTTGACAGTTTATGACTGTTTAATCTTACTCATAAAACCTGAATTTGGCAGTGACGTTGAACTTTCTGTTGTGATGGATGTGCTCTCACACTTGCATACGATGTCATTTTTATTAATTTGAATGTTTAATAGTGAAGTATGTTTTAGATTAAGTTTTATTTATTTTATTTTTTTTTACGATGTTTTTATTTCTAAAGTTTGACGTACTCGAAATAAAAAGTGGGGAGGGGGTTGTCTAAGATTTATGGCAGACTTTGACACAGGGAAGGCGAAGTTTGGGGGGGGGGAGTGGAATTCCAAAGACAGTTTGATGTAATTTATAGACGGCCTCTTACTGCACAAGAAAATTTCGTGCCAGAATCGGTCTCATGAGCCATCTGCGCACCCACAGCCTAATTCAGAACTAGCACAAATACGATGATATATATATATACATATATATATACCTTATTCACTTCAAAAATCATTTCAAACTAGTTATTTTAATTTTTGTTATTTACGTAAACAAACTTTTTCAACAGGAGCAAAGAACCTAATTGTAGTAAATATTTCACTTCAAATGTTGAATGAATAGCATAAATTTATGCCGGAACCACGGGGTCAATTTAAAAAGAAAAAAACACTACCGATAAAACACGGGGTAGTTTAAATTTGATGCGAGGTAATTCTTTGGATGTCGGTACCCTTGCGCTGAGGACATCTTCCGCTGAAATGGAAACAATGAGAAACAAATAAGTCCGTACGTTTATTCACTTAGGTGGCTTGTGTGTGAATCACTTAAGGCGAGAATCCCATTGGATCAGTATTACGGCTAAAATTTAGACGGACATAAGAGACCGAAATTCAGAAAAAGGTGGGGGGGGGGGGGGGGGGGAGAAATCTTCATACGAAGTGACGTGCCTTACAGTTGGAAAGTCTACTAAACTGTTAAGATATCATATGATGTAATGCGAAACATGAGCTGCGGGGCTATCCCCCTTTTGTTATTCCTGTCAATAAGAAAAGCACGGTGGGCCTATTGCGTTACTTGTCGTAGACCCCTAGCACCTATCGGCAAGTAGCACGAGGACTCAGATGCTGTTTATCACACTCGACAGTGTTTCTTATTCTTCTAGATATCAAGGACTCACGATTAATTTATTGATCACTTTGGCTCCTATGTGTGTAGAGGGGGATTTGCAATGTTTCTGTGCCTGGTGTTGAGGAGGATATTTCACTGGTTGCAAGGGCCACTTTGTGAGGGTATCATGCACTGGGGGTTGGAAGGCCTGAGGCAATAGACGCAAATGTGGAAAGTGTTGTTGCCTCAACTGTTCTTCCATGGGGCGTGGGGACCAGTGCCGCCTCCCCCCAGAGAAAAATGTGCACAGCCATAAAAACGAAAATATAATATATTAGAAATAATTGTATGTGTAAATTTTTTAAACATTTTATTTTTAAATGAAGCAATTTAACAAAATAAATAGTTTGATAAAAATATATTATGAAAGAAAAAACACTATGAAGTAACAAGTTAAACTATAAAAATTATTAAGTATAAACAGGTTGAGAGACACCTACATTTTGGTGTTGTACGATTCAGTTTGGAATCACGAAAAATAAATTTAGATATGCGCTAAAATGAATCATTGCATTTTTAATTCATCAAAACATTTCTGGGAAAGGACTCAAAGACCCCCCCCCTCCCAGCCCCTACCTCACATTTCCTCGGGAGCCTTCGACGCCATAGATTGCTGCTTTTACACCCCCCCTCACCTTTTTTTTTTGCCTATCAGTGTTATAGTACAGTGGCGAAACTAAGTTAGGACCAAAGGAACACCCTCCTATGCTAGCCTTCGACGCCATAGTTTGCTGCTTTTACCCCCCCCCTCCCCTTTTTTTTTTTTGCCTATCAGTGTTATAGTACAGTGGCGAAACTAAGTTAGGACCAAAGGAACACCCTCCTATGCGCAACAACCTGAGTGAATTCAAGTTATATATGACACCGGGTGTCCTAATACCCAATTTGCATCCTTGATATATGCCCTGTCGCCCTGAAATGTGCCCTCCTTGGATGATTTTTTTTCCTGAAAGAAACATTGAATTCAAAGACTTGACCCTTGATTTGAAAAAAAAAATATTTCTGGGGTTAGGTGAACCCTTCCCTAGGCCCCTCCCCAATTTCGTTCGGTAGACGTCCACCCTTTCACTTTCTTCCCCCCTACCCTAATCAAAATGATAGTGTTTGTACCTTAAATAAACAGACACTGGATGTGTGTCATTTGAATGATCCCCTTCTATTGACGAAATGTGATTTTCATTTAACGTTGTTTATATAATTGGGATGTATCGATTCCAGAGATAAAATTTAATTGGAGCTCAAAACATACCCTGAACTAAACTGACTTTAGTTGATGTTTGGTGAAGGGGTGGAGTTACAGTTTACCTAGGTCGGCGGTACGCCTAATTATGTCACTCACTGTCCAGTGTCATAGTTAGGGTAGGTGCCCCCCATCCCTCCGTTCTACAACCAAACTATGTAGCATTCTTCAGTGTCTGCCCACCCTTCCTGATACCTTTGTGAGTGACGTGTGTTGCTGCATAGTTACGTCGGCTGGTTTTATATTGAAAGTCGATGGTGGCAAGCAATAGGCTTCGTGGGACCTCACACGATCGGCGCGTGCAGTGACGCAGAAAAGAAACATATCGGGATATGATTACGTGTTGGCGTTAATGGGTAAGAGGCGTGGCTGGGTTGTGTCAGCTCGTGCTGATGGTTCTATCCTACAGCCCGTTTCTCCCCAAGCCGCGATGTCACCTGATCACAAAGTAGAAACCCCCGTGAAGAAATCTCTGTTAGAGGGCGTCTGACGCCACCCGTGGTTCGGAATGGGAGTGTTTAGGGACGTTAAAATATACCCATATCCCATCTCCAAGAGTGTTCGTCTGCATCTGCTACGAGAGCATCATCACCAGCCGACCAGGTGTTCCTTGGTTGATGCCACCCCACGCGCGTAGTCAGTCGAGTGGAAGGCGGGCGGGGCTGTCTCAGTGGCGGAGTGCCTCCAGCGTGCCGCTTTCAGGCCTGTCTAGCTAGCGCTATTCGAGGTGGAGGGAGGAAGGGGTATGTCGGGGAAGACCAAATGAGCTCTGCCTCGATGGTCTGCTGCTTTTATTAAGATGTTAATGGCGTGGAAAAGGGGTCACGGAGGGAGCGTTCCCTGCGAGGAAAGCAGCGGAAAAATTGTCCGCCCGCCCTGATTGGAATTAACCCTTGCAACGTCATATGAAACCATGGAAATAAGTCAACCAACCCAAGGTCGTCACCGAAGGGATAGTGGTTGTCGATTTGGAGCTAGTAGGCACCGGGATGTATAAGCTGCCTCTGGTGGGAGACCTGGCGGTGAAGGAGCTCATTCTTGATCCTTTACGCATGTACGTGCTGTCTCCGCTGAGTCTATCTTGGCCAAGTGCCTCCCTGTATCTGTAAGAGCAGAATACCGTGCGCTTAGAGGGGAATTTATCTTTAAGAGCAGTATACCGTGCGCTTAGGGGGGAAATTTTGTGGCCTTGAATTTATGTTAATGGGAAAATATATGACAGTTAAATCTTCCGTGGTAATGTTTATGATCTATAACAGTGCTTCTCAGAAGACCAATTGGACATAAGGTGTTGCCCTTGTGGAGGTCTTGTGCTGCATCAAGCTGGACAGGCAGCCATCTAAAACAACGACTCCTGGAAGTTTCTGTGTCACTCCATCCACCCCTGTGGTGCTAAGACTCGCGTAAGGCTTTGGCCTGCCTCACTAATTCCTTGCACCCTGATCTAACTAATGCTTTTCTTTTCCATGCTTGGATTCCCAGCTGCTGTATATTCTGTGACTCTTTGACAATAAAATTTTAACCAGAAATGACCGATGTTGAGAGTGAAAATGAATTGTTTTCAAATCCTTGATTATGTGTAGCCTCACTGACCTTTTAAAAGACCACACTTCAGAAACGTCATTGTGCAAAGGAGCGCGATGTTTGTTGAAGATGACTTCAGCCTCTTTGTCTTTCCTGCAAATAGGCCATTTCCCAGTTAATGTGTTGGGTGAAATTGAAAATATTTTTTTTTTATAAAACAAATACCCCAAATTTTTAATTACAACACATCAAAGTAACACTTTATTACACTTTGAATAGCAGTTCAAGAACACATTGAAAGATGACTCCAGAATCAGGCAATTGCAGCTCACTAACACATTGAAAGATGACTCCAGAATCAGGCAATAGCAGATCACTAACACATAAAAAGATGACTGCAGAATCAGGCAATAGCAGCTCACTAACACATAAAAAGATGACTCCAGAATCAGGCAATAGCAGCTCACTAACACATTGAAAGATGACTCCAGAATCAGGCAATAGCGGCTCACTAACACATAAAAAGATGACTCGAGAATCAGGCAATAGCAGCTCACTAACACATAAAAAGATGACTCCAGAATCAGGCAATAGCAGCTCACTAACACATTGAAAGATGACTCCAGAATCAGACAATAGCAGCTCACTAACACATAAAAAGATGACTCCAGAATCAGGCAATAGCAGCTAACTAACACATTGAAAGATGACTCCAGAATCAGGCTATAGCAGCTCACTAACACATAAGAAGATGAATCCAGAATCAGACAATAGCAGCTCACTAACACATTGAAAGATGACTCCAGAATCAGGCAATAGCGGCTCACTAACACATTGAAAGATGACTCCAGAATCAGGCAATAGCAGCTCACTAACACATTAAAAGATGACTCCAGAATCAGGCAATAGCAGCTCACTAACACATTGAAAGATGACTCCAGAATCAGGCAATAGCAGCTCACTAACACATTGAAAGATGACACGAGAATCAGGCAATAGCAGCTCACTAACACATTAAAAGATTACTCCAGAATCAGGCAATAGCAGCTCACTAACACATTAAAAGATGACTCCAGAATCAGGCAATAGCAGCTCACTAACACATTGAAAGATGACACGAGAATCAGGCAATAGCAGCTCACTAACACATTGAAAGATGACACGAGAATCAGGCAATAGCAGCTCACTAACACATAAAAAGATGACTCCAGAATCAGGCAATAGCAGCTCACTAACACATTGAAAGATGGCTCCAGAATCAGGCAATAGCGGCTCACTAACACATAAAAAGATGACTCGAGAATCAGGCAATAGCAGCTCACTAACACATAAAAAGATGACTCCAGAATCAGGCAATAGCAGCTCACTAACACATTGAAAGATGACTCCAGAATCAGGCAATAGCAGCTCACTAACACATAAAAAGATGACTCCAGAATCAGGCATTAGCAGCTCACTAACACATTGAAAGATGACTCCAGAATCAGACAATAGCAGCTCACTAACACATAAAAAGATGACTCCAGAATCAGGCAATGGCAGCTCACTAACACATTGAAAGATGACTCCAGAATCAGGCAATAGCAGCTCACTAACACATTGAAAGATGACTCCAGAATAAGGCAATAGCAACTCACTAACACATTGAAAGATGACTCCAGAATCAGGCAATAGCAGCTCACTAACACATTAAAAGATGACTCCAGAATCAGGCAATAGCAGCTCAGAAACACATTAAAAGATGACTCCAGAATCAGGCAATAGCAGCTCACTAACACATAAAAAGATTACTCCAGAATCAGGCAATAGCAGCTCACTAACACATTGAAAGATGACTCCAGAATCAGGCAATAGCGGCTCACTAACACATAAAAAGATGACTCCAGAATCAGGCAATAGCAGCTCACTAACACATTGAAAGATGACTCCAGAATCAGGCAATAGCAGCTCACTAACACATTGAAAGATGACTCCAGAATCAGGCAATAGCAGCTCACTAACACATTAAAAGATGACTCCAGAATCAGGCAATAGCAGCTCACTAACACATTGAAAGATGACTCCAGAATCAGGCAATAGCAGCTCACTAACACATTGAAAGATGACTCCAGAATCAGGCAATAGCAGCTCACTAACACATAAAAAGATGACTCCAGAATCAGGCAATAGCAGCTCACTAACACATTAAAAGATGACTCCAGAATCAGGCAATAGCAGCTCACTAACACATTAAAATATGACTCCAGAATCAGGCAATAGCAGCTCACTAACACATTAAAAGATGACTCCAGAATCAGGCAATAGCAGCTCACTAACACATAAAAAGATGACTCCAGAATCAGGCAATAGCAGCTCACTAACACATTGAAAGATGACTCCAGAATCAGGCAATAGCAGCTCACTAACACATTGAAAGATGACTCGAGAATCAGGCAATCGCAAAAGAATGTATGGAACAATCCCTCCAAAAAAAATGCATGGAACAATCCCTTCAATAGAGAATGTATGGAACAATCCCTCCAATAAAAATGTAGTTTTCAACCAAGTTTTTAAGCCTGGAGATTTCGTGATTGTTGAATTTTTTCTTCGAAGGCTAAACATTATGTGTTGTGTTTTTGCTTGAAATGTGTTGTGCGTGTGTTCGAAATGTGTTCAATGTACATTGAAATTATTCCCGTACTGTCTCAACATCACTAGCAATAACACCATGTTTACATTTTCAATTACCTTTTAAAATGATCAAATGATCGTTGCCATGTCGTTCAAGCCCCAAGTAAATCTGATAGCAGAGAGAAACCTACGACTCAAATGAAATACATACAGGAGCGGTACCTGTAAGAAAAGGCGTCTATTCCCGTGGGGAATTTCCAAAGCAGGCTCTCTTCCGGGATATCTTGCGCAATAGACAGAATGAGTTGATGGATGTGGGGGTCCCTTTTCTTGACTTCCGGCACTTCGCAGCACCTTGAATCCTGAAACAGAAACCAGCCGCTAAAAATAGCACCATTTGTACACGTGATAAAGCTAATTACACGTAATTATTTGTATTTCAGCCCCCCCCCCCCCCACCAACCAAATCATACCTCCCCCTTTGTTCCCCCAGCCGGCATTCAGAGCCATCACGTGACACATGGAGGCTATCTGCCACTATTAGGATTTTTCCCCCCACAATAGAAATTCGGACCCTTTAAATATCCGAGTCCACCTGCATTCGCGGAATTGCAGAGCACACCTAACGTCACTGCCAGCCATCTCAGTCAAGATAAGCGCACCAAAAAAAGTGTCCATCTTTGTAAAATAGCACATTAGATTTGAAGTAGGTGGGAAATTGCACGATTAGAATTGAAGAAGTTGGGGAAATTGTCCGATTAGAATTGAAGTAGTTGAGAAATTGCCAGATTAGAATTTATGGAGGGGGAAATTGTCAGATTAGAGTCAAAATATGTGAGAAATTGCCAGATTAGAGTTTAACAAGGTGGAGAAATCGCTAGATTAGAATTGAAATATGTGGGATATTGCCAGATTAGAATTGAAGTAGGTGGGGAAATTGCTAGATTAGAATTGAAGAATTTGGGGAAATTGCTAGATTAGAATTGAAATATGTGGGATATTGCCAGATTAGAATTGAAGTAGGTGGGGAAATTGCTAGATTAGAATTGAAGAATTTGGGGAAATTGCTAGATTAGAATTGAAATATGTGGGATATTGCCAGATTAGAATTGAAGTAGGTGGGGAAATTGCTAGATTAGAATTGAAGAATTTGGGGAAATTGTTGTACATTAGAATTGAAGTATGTGGGAAATTGCCAGATTGGAGTTGAATGAGATGGGAAATTGCCAGATTGGAGTTGAATGAGATGGAAAATTGCCAGATTAGAGTTGAATGAGATGGGAAATTGCCAGGTTGGAGTTGAATGAGATGGGAAATTGCCAGATTAGAGTTGAATGAGATGGGAAATTGCCAGATTAGAGTAAATGAGATGGGAAATTGCCAGATTGGAGTTTAATGAGATGGAAAATTGCCAGATTAGAGTTGAATGAGATGGGAAATTGCCAGATTAGAGTTGAATGAGATGGGAAATTGCCAGATTGGAGTTGAGTGAGATGGGAAATTGCCAGATTCGAGTTGAAGTAGGCAGTAAATGTTCAGGAGAAACTGTCAAGTTCAACTACTCACGCTTGACTGCCTGGCCTGCTCACTCAGACGTTCTTCGCTCTGTAGTAATATCTTGGGCACAGTGGATCGCCCTGTATAGGAATATAAGACAATCATCCTCTTGTGAATTAAGGCTTCAAATGTTAAACATGACACGAGGTTATACCAGTTTCCAACTCAAGTACTTTTAGCAACAAATCAGCTCTAACAAGTTAACTCATTTATTTTCAATGTTTATAGTTAATAATTGAAGATATCTTTAAAATTATTTTTCTTCTTTCATTATATTAAAGCAATGCATTGCTGGCTGCATTGCTGTGCTGTTGTTTTCAGATTAAATTAAAGCAACTTAAAGATAGCATCGAGTTATAGTAGACTATCATTTAGGTGGGTGGGGGTGGTGGCATACCTCAAAACTGTCTATAGTCTATATCGTGTGAGCAAATTTAGCTATCATCCAATTATTTTCAAGGTGCAAAGCTCAAATCCGTAAGGGGTGCCGTGACCACATCTGGCACTCTGTGGTTTCCAGAGATGCCGGATCGAATTCCAGAATCGGGTGCGGGAAAACTTGACTCTGATGACCGTCGATGCCGGACCGAAGAGCCGGAAATTCATGAAACAAGAAAATTCCGGGGAGAAGTCGTCATCGGTTTCTGGCTCCGAGTGAGTGTCCGAGGGTGGGTCCAAGGGTGGGTCCGAGGGTGGGTCCGAGGGTGGGTCCGAGGGTGGGTCCGAGGGTGGGTCCGAGGGTGGGTCCGAGTGTGGGTCCGAGGGTGGGTCCGAGTGTGGGTGCGAGTGTGGGTCCGAGGGTGGGTCCGAGGGTGGGTCCGAGGGTGGGTCCGAGTGTGGGTCCGAGTGTGGGTCCGAGTGTGGGTGCGAGTGTGGGTCCGAGGGTGGGTCCGAGCGTGGGTCCGACAATGATTATGTTTTTACAATTCTGGTTAACGGTCAGTTTCAAGCAAACCGGTTCAACTGGTCGGTCAAGTTTGTCGGAATCCGATACTCCCTTGAGTTTGGAGGGTGCCCCCCTTTACCACCCCTCCCTTTTCACTAGCCTCTGGCAGCAGTGAAGTCGACGGGTATGACAATGTGATTTTTTTTTTGTGGTGCTAATATATGAATGATGTCTATGCGATCATTACATATAGGTGAGGAGGGAGTCTAATTATTTTGTATGAGTTCTGATGGTAGAGAAAACAGTAAAAAAGAAGTTGGAGCGGGAAAGGGGGGGGGGGCAAAATATTTTAAAATCATTTCTTGATGGTTCCTAAGTAAGGAAATTCAATATCATGCATACAATTAATTTAAAACGCCGTTTAGATACCAACAGTGAATTAAATTCCCTAAAACGCTTGTTGGGCTCGAGGTAGATACATTGTGAAAGGCTTGGAGCTAAAGATCCAACGGTGAAAATAGCAGCGTGACAAGAAACACCACATGAAGGGGACACACTGCTTACGCTGCATGGTTTCAATTTAAATGGACTAGGACGGGGTGGACTTGATTCGTGCTGGTGAAATGGGACGGATGCAAAAATCCCTCGATGTAGGTAGGTGTTATAATATGCATTTTATTGTACATTTTACCAGCAGCATTTCGCAGCGGTGCTGTTCTGTGCAGTTTGGGTGCGCGGTGTGGGTGTGAAATGGTTGGACTTAAGAATCTTTACAACCATCAACATCCACATGGCCTATTCGTTTGATTACAATGTGCATAGTCTTTCTAGGATTAAAAAAAAAAACAAAAAAAAAACAACAACTTGATAGTCCTTGTCTGGATTTTGTTGATTTTTAAATAATTTTTATTGGTCTATTGGGGGTCCCCCTTCCTGCCATCTTCTCAAAGCTTCCACACCCCCCCCCACACACACACACAAACACACCTGGTATTCTCTTCCTGTTACCTACTAATCTCCTTACTCTCACAACCCCCCCCCCAAATCCCCGACTATCCATTTCCATAATCCCCTTCCTCCCATCCTCTCAAAGCCTCCACCCCCCCCCCCCCACACACCCACAAACCCCCCCGGTATTCCCCTCCCGTTACCTACCAATCCCCTTTCTCTCCCAACCCCCCCCCCCAAATCCCCGACTATCCATTTCCATAACAATAATACCCTCAAATTCCCCAGTGTGCCAACATTTATTAGCAGAACAATTCATTGAACTCAGTTTAACTTTATCGTCAGATAAAAAATCCCTAAAGGATTCATCTTGAAACAATTTCATTCCAAGGAAAGTTAATCGAGAATTATCCTGCATTTAAATACTATGAATAGTGTGACTTTCTGGGATTAAAAATAAAAAAAAAATGTTCATCTTGTCAATGGTAGGCCAATGTTTGCAACAGCTGTTGTTGGGGGAATCCCCATTGAGTCGTCATTGTGACCTTTTTTTTGTTTTGTTTTGTTTTGTTTCCAATCATTGCGCTCAAGGCCAAACTAGCGGGTCTCAAAACGTACCAAAAACTCTTGACCTGATAGGGCACTGCCTTCAAAGCTGACAGACAGCAATAACTTCCTAGCAGTCACTGAGTTGAACGGCCGCAAAACAAATGTAATTATATTGAAAAGTACACAGAATAAACATCTACCGCCTCCACAATCTGATTTCTTAAGGGCTCTAGCGTTTTCCCCCTCAAACACATAACGGGGAAAAAAAAATTCTCTGAAAAAATTTTTTTAAGTAAAAATTTTAAAAATTGTAATTTATACGGTAGCCTAGACAATTGTGTCCGATTTCGCCCGTAAGATTATGTTGATACAGCTAAAGCAATCTAATTTTAATCAGGAATTTGGAGCAAACTTTGGGGGCGTCCATTAATTATGTAAAAAAATTAAGGGGGGGGGGGTTGTTGGAAATGTTTGAAAGCTGCTGACAAGGGGAAGGGAGGGGGTTAAGAATAGTTGACGTCGACGATCATGTTTTCTCTATTTAAATTTTAATCTTAAAAATTGACTGGTTATTACATTATTTTTAAAAATGTATACGTGTACATGAGTGTAAAAAGTAATATAATTATTAGGCTTTTAGCAATATAAGATTTATTTCTTCTTCTTCTATATCTTAAGGGTCCACGATCAATTTATTGATCATTTTGGCTCCTATGCATGTAGATGGGATTTGCAATGTTTCTGTTACTGGTGTTGATGATGAAAATCATGCACTAGGGGTTTGAAGGCTTGAGGCAATATACACAAATGAGTCTAGTGTTATCGCCTCAACCGTTCCTTTTGAAAGATTGTTCCAGTCCCTGATTGTCTTGGGCAGGAATGAGCAGCTCCTATACTGGCTTCTTGCTGGTATGAGCCTGAATTGCCTGTCATCGCCTTGTCGCTGTCTATGGGGGAGAGGGACGAGTTTCTGTTTAATACTGGAACAGTGGACCAGCCCATTATTTATCTTGTACATCATCGAGAGCCTGGATTTAATGTGTGTGTTTGCACTAGAGATGGCTGGTCAGAATGTTAATTTCTATTATTGTTAGCACACTTTGTTAGTGCAAGAGAAGTCAAAAGTTGGCCTCTCTTCACCTGTACATTCTGTTGAACAAGGAAAGGTTCAAGTGTCATGTGCAGTCAAGGTAAATGATATTGATAGATTTGGAATACGATATTTTGAGAATTGGGTGATAGTTAAGTGAGTAACAATAATAGCATCGCTGCATGAACGGATTTGCAAAATCTGTGACATCTTTTTCGCATCACATGTCATGTTGAAAAAGCATGTTCAACAGCTACGACAATTCCCTCTTTGAGGAGAGAAATAACACCTTCTCCTCAACACAAAAATGATTCGACCAATGCGAGAAGCCACTTGGAGATAGAAAGAGCTTATGGCATCAAGGCGGCGCTAGGGGATGGCGAAGTGGGCGACCGCGCATTACCGTAGTATATTTATAATATACCTAAGCCTAATGATAGTTCCTAATCCAGCCAACACAATATTCGGTGTTATTAGAATAGTCCAACGGTCTGAAGGTCAGTCTGGCTCCCATACTCTCCCTTGGTCAGTCTGGCTCCCATACTATCCCTTGGTCAGTCTGGCTCCCATACTATCCCTTGGTCAGTCTGGCTCCCATACTATCCCTTGGTCAGTCTGGCTCCCATACTATCCCTTCGAGATGAATTTCGGGAAGACCTCTGGGCGAATTTTAAGCAGACGAAAGGGGATTACGACCAGCAAGTCCCAAGTACGACTATAACCTGACGAAGGGGGATTACGATCAGCAAGGCCCCAAGTACGACTATAACCTGACGAAGGGGGATTAAGACCAGCAAGGCCCCAAGTACGACTATAACCTGACGAAGGGGGATTACGACCAGCAAGGCCCCAAGTACGACAATAACCTGATGAAGGGGGATTACGACCAGCAAGGCCCCAAGTAGGACTATAACCTGACGAAGGGCGATTACGACCAGCAAGGTCCCAAGTACGACTATAACCTGACGAAGGGGGATTACGACCAGCAAGGCCCCAAATACGACTATAACCTGACGAAGGGGGATTACGACCAGCAAGGCCCCAAGTACGACTATAACCTGACGAAGGGGGATTACGACCAGCAAGTCCCCAAGTACGACTATAACCTGACGAA